TTCAGGATTTTCGTTACTTATATTCTCCAGTATCTTACGTTTTCTAATTCTGTAAACTTGGTTTCTTTCTGTATGTTTTTGTATCAAATCTTTTCTAGCCTTTTTGATCTCTACTTTTTTAGCCTTAAGAGATTTTGCTTCATCGTCAGTCAACAAATTTACATCATCTCGTCTCTTTAAAAGAGATATTTCCTGATCCAAGATAACAATTTTCCCTTTTAACAAATTTTGTGCTGGAGTATCATATTTTTTTCTGAAGACACAGAATTTTCTAAAATGAGATTGGATTCTGAATTCGAATTTTCGGGTACAGCATTAGATCTATTCTCTGAAACTGAGTCATCTTTGTTTAAAGAATCTGTAGTTTCTGCAGCAGTTGAAGTACTTCGTAACTAAAAAATGTAATAAGAAATTTTAAATAATTTTATTCATTTATTTTTAATTTATTTTTAAATAAGAAATTTTATTTGCATAGTTTTAGTCAAAATTGTAAAAAAATAGATACCATATTTGATCAAACTTACATTACTCCAGTAATTCAATAATTTACTCTTCTTTTTGAATTTTATGTTTGTTAAGTCCGCTATTTTATTTTTAAATAATTCTTCGTAGTTGTCTTCACATTTCATTGAGTTCCAAATTTTGTTTACCTCCGTTTGAGCCTCATTACCTTTTTTGTCAGGAAACGCTTCTTGATAATTTTTGTATAAAAGTTTATAATCTTTAGATTTATCCATATCTATAAAGCACTAAAAATAGAAAGAAATTGAAGTAAATTAAAAATGTTTAAAAATTCTATACACGGAAAAAAAAATTCAGTAAATTTTCCAAAACTTTTCTGGACTAGCGAATACAGCCGTTTCCGAAACTGAGTACTGTAAAATGTGGTAAACATTACAGATAAATTCTGGAACTTTTTAGTATTTTTACTAAACTTTTCATTATTTCTACTAAACTTTTCTAGAGTTTATCTTTAATGTTCACCACATTTTACAGAACTCAGTTTCGGAAACTGAGTAAAAAAATTTAGTGAATTTATTTTTTCCGTGTGAGAAAACTATACACTTGAAAATTCTACACAATTGTCGTTTATTATTTAAAATACGTTACTCTTTTGTCTTCTGAAAAATGAGACTTAATTGCTTCGTTACTAAGGAGTCAAAAGGAAATAAAATAACAAATGACATTTGTGCATTTAATGAGAAAAAATATTTTGTGGGCTATTAATTTGTTCTTATATATCGACTTTATCAAAAACTTGCAAACCATTCACTCGGCAAAAATGAGTATTTTTCCTGTTTGACATTTTTAGTACAGATATTCACAAATTTCTTATTAAAAGTTATAAAACAGTACTTACCGAAATAATACTAAAAAAATTCAAAACATTTCAAATTTCCTTATAAAATACAGAAACATACACCCAAGATATTATACACGAAGTTTTGAACGCATAATCTATATTTTGTCCACAACAACAATAATAGCCTTGAAGTGAATCGCGATAAGCAGTGTCACCAATCGTTAAAAATTAAACTCTCCAAAAAAAAGCGCGAAATTTTAAAATAATATTATTTAAAATATTGTAATTTTTAATCATTTTAATATTACAAATTAGTATTTTGTTGAAAGGAACGATTTTTTTCAAGAATAATTATATCTCGTGACGAGAGGTCAATAGCCCCCCCTCCCACCCGTGATAAACCATGATGTTTCTTTAAACCCTCCCCCCTAACAATATCACATGCTTTATGGACGACCCCAGTATTTAATATTATTTTGCTCATGAAGTGGCTTTATTTTCAACTTTGGTGGAGTCATAGTGTTGTGCCTAATTTTGAATCCAACTGTTTTTAAATATTAAAAGATGAATCGCTTCTAAAAATATTTTTTCATCACACATGCACGATTTAGTCAGTTTTACGCCCCACCGAGTGAGCTTAAACTCCAGCTTTTCGAGCGGCGTGCGCGGGTGCGTTTAAATTAAAAATTTACAATCTAGGGAGTAAAAACGTGACGTCACACACATGAAACAAATCATTTACACACACTTTTCAGTCTTTCGTTGTTGCTGTGCGCATGCTCCATACCGGCGCACGCAGGTCAATGTTTTCTGTGAGAGAGTACCTGCATGTCTGCTAGATATACTAATCGGGATGTCATTGGCACCGACTCAAAAACCTGAAGTTTAAACTCGCTGGACGGGGCACAAAACTGTCGAAATCGTGCATTCGTAATAAAAAATATGTTGCATGACATGGAGAAGGACCGATTTACGGAGAGGACTGAATTTTTAGCACTTGACGAGCACTGCGAATCACTCAGCCTTCAACCTCGCGCCTTCGGCGCTTGTGCTACGGCTTCGTTCATCTCAGTGCTCGACTCGTGCTAAAAACATTTGCCCTCTCCGTAAATGGGTCTGTCTTCCCCATTTTAAGCAATATACTATTTTAAGCGTTCAGGGAACAATTTCTCTGTTGCTCTTTAATTATTTTTGCAATTTTTGGTAGACTATTGTGCACGTGGTTTACATAACCTCAAAGTGACTCTTGACTAACCTCACAAACTTTTTTTTGGAGTTGAATGAAAATCTGTGCCTGCTACGCTTTTTAAGGATCATGAATGCTGAATTGTCGCTGCTTTTTTACCTTGCATTGATATTTTATACTTTGCAGTTTTGTGCAACAGTTAATTCAAGCCCAATTGAACCTGCTGCTTGGACTGCAACGTATTCTTAAGAATCGCACTGCTTGGCTGCATGCTTGCGCTTCATAATCACATTAATTTAAATTGCTTTTTCAATTAAACCTTTTTCCAATTTTCCAGTTTTTTTATAATTAAATTAATTGTAAAGATTGCAATTTGAGCTTTATAACTACTTAATTATTTTATCTCAATCTCTTTCTCTAGTATTTGCTTATTTCTATTTAAATTTTTCTAATTAAACTCAAATTTTTTTTTATTTTTAACTTAGTAGTTTTATTTAATTATTTTATTAATTATTTTAAATATCTATTTTTCACATTATTATTATTTATTTTGAAAGCCTCAAATTTAAAATTTTCTAGGAAGATGGCTGATCTGAAGAGAATGCAGGAAGAAGAGTCCAGGAATAATGATTCGAATGATTCTTTTGCGCCGTTGATTGACTTTGATATGGAGACTTCAAATGCGAACCCTGCTCAAGTGCCTCCATCTTCGTTTTTAATGTTGTTAGCGAATGCTGCCAATGTTGCCAAGCCGGCTGGATTTGCCTTTATTGATGGGAATTCCGGGGGTAAACTAAAAAATTTTCATACCCTCCCCTCTTTCTCTGCTTTTGGAGATTCTAGTAAGAAGAGACCTCGAGAACTTGATCACTTACGAGAATCTGGTTCATCTGATTCCTCCTCAAGTGGTTTAAATCACCCTGTTGGAAAAAATCCTTGATTTTTCATCCTGAATTGGAGATTGGATCTGGCTCTGCAGTTGTTGCTAGGGTCAATTTGGATGGAGCTTTGCCTCGTCCTCCTATTCCTTCTGGCTCTGGATTGAATCCCCAGTTTACAACGGGTGCAAGGAATGCTAGTCTAAAAAATGGTGTAGACTCCTTGGTTCAGACGAACAACGATAATACCTGGTTTAATGATAGTTTGCGTAACATCTCAAAAAAATATAATCCTTCAAGTTCTCGACCATTTGTTGTCCTCATGGAGAGTACTATTCCAGGTCGCAATGTGGGAAAGTTGGATCCAATTTGCGTCCTAAATTTACTTAATCCTCTTATTGATGGTGGCAAATCGATCTCGAGAAACGGCATAAACCAGTTGAAAATTGTTTGTGATAATTGAGTGCCAATAGTCTTATCGATGTTAGAGACCTTTCTTTGGCAGGCTTTAAATGTTTCATTCCGAATTCCTTTTTAGGTAGAAAGTGTTTACTACTTTGTTCCCTGTGAACAGAACAATCTCGGAAATTGTTTCTTTCTTTAATGATTCTGTTCTGAGAAGTATCATCTCTATCAAGAGGATCTTTAATAGTCAAATTGCCACAGAGCGGATTGAGTTTAATTTTTATTCCAAGGTAGTTCAGAGCAGTCTTTCAATAAGTGCCCTACTGAAAATCCCTGTATAAGATCTTGTACAATTTCCTGTACTGGATCAGCAACTGAACTTGTACAAGTTCTGACCAGTTCCTGTACAGGAAAATGTATACGAATTTGGAACAAGTTCATGTGTGAGATCTTATACAAGATCTGGTGCAAGATCTTGTACAAGAAAGATACTTGTACAAGAAAATGTACATGATCTTGTACAATTTCATGTATAAGTACTTGTACATGAACACGTTCATGTTCTTGCACATGTATAGTTGTAAAAATTTTTTTTTTAATAAAATTTGAGATTTTGATAATTTTTAACCACTAAGATTCGTAACCCATGTATGCTAAAAACTATTGCGCAGCTGTAAAGGTTAAAGTAAACTATTGCGCAGCCTTTAAAGTTTTTAATTTTTAGTAAAGAAAAACATGAATTAACATGTGCAAGAACATGGACGTGTTCATGTACAAGATCATGTACATTTTCTTGTACAAGTATCTTTCTTGTACAAGATCTTGCACCAGATCTTGTACAAGATCTCACACATGAAGTTGTTCTAAATTCGTATGCATTTTCCTGTACAGGAACTGGTCAGAACTTGCACAAGTTCAGTTGCTCATCTAGTACAGGAAATTGTACAAGATCTTGTACAGGGATTTTCAGTAGGGTGGATATCATTTGCAACTCACTCCAGCGATTCCGAGGCCAAGAAGATGCTTTAAGTTTCAAAGATTTTGTCACACTGCAAATCGATGCTGTTCCACATTTCTTTCATGTGAATTTTGTGCAGGGAGAGACCTCACGAACCTATGTTCTAATATAAATGGCAGAGATAGTTGTAAAAATTGCAATGGTGCTCACTTTGCTTCCTCAAGTAATTGCCCAATTTATAAATTCGGATTCAACATACTTAAATTTACAATGACAATCGGTTGCTCTAGGGAGGAAGCTAAGATCATGATCCGCTCTGAGAATCCTGATCCAATGAGTGAAGTCTTACCCAGAGATGATAACTCCTACATAGACTCATTCAATGATGACCCTGCAGCACTTAATGAAGAAAATCCGACAGCATCTTTGAATAATAATCCTCCTACATCTACCCCAGTGGCTGAATTCGTTAGAATGAATGATGATGCAGGCCAGGGTGCAAAGGGTTGCTCATCCCTCTCTAAGATTGCTAAGTCTGTTGGTGACAGCGGATTGTCTGAGAAATTGGTCGTTGTCGATGAGCTGTCTGAGCTTGGCCGTTCTAAGTTGGATCTTATAGATTCTTTACGAAAAAACTTGTCTTTTTAACTCTTATGTAACTTTATTTAAAAATTTTTTTTTATATTTATTTTTATTTTATTTATTTTTACTTTTAAATTTTTAATTGTTCCCTGAACGCTTTTTAAATCTGGTTATTTTAATCCTGTTGTGCATTTTCTTATTTTATCTCGTTACATTTCTTTGGCAGAATTTTTTTTCTTTTTTTTTTGTTCTCGTTAATATGAATATTTTTAAGTATGGTACCTGGAATGCTCGTAGTGTTGTAAATAAAAAAGCTGAAATTGAATCAATCCTTAACTTATATGATTTGGATGTTCTAGCCATATCTGAGACTTGGCTTTCGTTAAGGTGTCCGGTTTGGCAGATTTCTGGGTGTTATACTTACAGGAAGGATCGAAACGATCAACATGTTGGTGGTGGTTCTTTATTATTAATTAGAAATTCATTATTGATTACCCCTATAAATATAAACAAGAATGTTTTGTCACAGATCGATGTTGTAGGTGTCTCTGTAGGTACTGATTTTGGACAGTTGCAGTTTCTGTCAGTGTATGTCCCGCCAGGTGCTCGTGTGCCCAAATTTATTAGGTCATCTACTAATAGAATTAATACTAAAAATGTTGATTGGCTTAAATTTTCTAAAACTATTGATAATAAGTGTGTAACTCTCTTAGGTGATTTGGATGGAGATGCTGATCCAATCAGCATTTATGATTAATTTACGAGTCAAATTAGGGACGTCTTGCATGATTGTGGTGCTTATGTCCCATCAAATCTGCCAGGCAGGAGAAAGGCTAAACCACTTTGGTGGGACTCTGAATGCGATGATGCAAGTGGTTCCTTCGTCAGAAGAAAAAATCTTCCTTTATTAAGTTCTGTGTCCTAACTCTGACGTTTTTAGGAAACTCCAGGAAGAGTTAGCTCAGGAGAATGTTCCTATCGTTGATCTACCCCTAATCCCTGATCGTAATGTTCTGGACGAATTGAATAAATTCTTTACTTATTTACAGTTCCATTCTGCGATTGTCCAATGCAAGAAAATTCCTCTTCTGGTCTTGATTCGATTTCAAATGAAATTATTCAAAAGTTGCCCTCCCTCAGTAGGAGGCTCTTATTTCGTCTCTTCAATGATTTTTTTGCTGGGTCTATATATCCTGATAATTGGAAAAATGCTAGAGTGATATTTATCCCTAAGCCAGGTGGAGTTGGCTTTAGACCAATCTCATTAACTTCCAATATTTGTAAACTCTTTGAAAAAATGGTGCACAAAAGATTGGAACATATGTTGAATCTGTCAATGCGATACCTAGATTCCAATTTGGTTTTCGACGTGGCCTTTCATCGATGGACTGTGTTTCGACCTTGGCTACCGATATTCATATTGCTTTTTCCAACAGGGGGCATACTTTCGCTCTGGCAATTGATATTAAGGGAGCATTCAATAATATCACTCCAATATCGGTATATAATCGCTTGACAGAATTGGGAGCTCCTTCTAAGATAAGAAATTTTGTCTCTTTTCTTACAAGTTCGCGGAGGTTGTTCTTTTCTGCAAATTCTGATAAATTCAAGCTTTCAGGCATTAGTGTTCCACAGGGTGGAGTTTTATCGCCTCTTTTATTTAATCTTGCTCTCAGTGGTATGGTATACTCCTGTACACCACATGATATCAAATGGCTAATGTTTGCTGATGACTTGATTCTGTATATTAGGACGAAGAATTCAATTCTGGGAGTGAGAAAATTGGAAGAAACTAATTAATTGATTTCACGATGGCTGGCTGATTTCAGTCTTACAGTTTCACTCCCTAAATCCCAGTTGATTGCATTCTCTAGAACGAATCAGGATTTAAGTCAATTGTATATCAAGATAGAAGATTGTAGGATTGAGGTTGGTGGCTCCATAAAATATCTGGGAGTGGTTCTGGACAGGAGATTGTCGTGGCTTCCTCATTTGAAGGATATTGCTGGCAAAGCAACGAGAGCGATTAATTGTCATTAAGGCCTTGTCGAGGGTTTCGTGGGGTGCTAATCCTTCAGTGCTGTTAAATGTTTATCGCGGCCTAGTTAGATCCCATCTGGAGTGGGGATGTCAATTATTTTCCTTAGCTGCTAAATCCAATTTAGCTATCTTGGATAGAATCCAGTTTTCTGCTTTGAGATTGGTCCTTGGATGCATGCGATCAACTCCTACTTCAATTTTATTGTCTGAATCTGATGAGCCCCCTTTATACATTAGGAGAGCGATGCTATGTAGAAGACGTGTAATTAGGAATATATATTGGTCTCGAAATCCTCTTTTTCCTAACTTGATGTTGCTGGATGAGTCTCTATTTCAGAGATAGGGTGCCCCTAATGATGAGGTTTTGAAATCAACAAAGTTTTCTTTACTTGAGGCATTTACGGATATAGAGGTTATGGTTAATAAATGTGTCAGAACAAAGAAGTCTTGATTTTTTGACTTTTCCTGGAGGGAGCTTACAAGCGAGCTTTCAGTTGATATTGATCTGGGTTTGGAAATAAAATCTAGCGTCAATCCTTGCGAGTCTTTTGATACTCTACTAAAAACATCTTTTAAGGACCACGTTGGAGTTTTTACTGATGGGTCACATAATCCAATCAAAGGTCTTTCTGGTGCTAGCTATTGTGTTCTTTCTATGAACCTTGATTTTTCAGTCAAACTTAGTGGTGTTATGACTGCCGAATCGTGCGAACTATACAGTATCTTATCTGCGTTGAAGTTTATGAGAGCCTCTCAATTGAGTAAGGTTATCATTGTATCTGATTCGAGATCTTCGTTAAGTTGTATTAAAGATAGATTTCTGGGTATGAAACCACATCCTACCATACTCAAGATAGTTAGAATCACTCTTGAATTGATTAATGAGGGTCGCCTTGTTCAATTTTTGTGGGTTCCGTCACATAAGGGTATCAAGGGTAATGAGATAGCTGATAAATTGGCCAAGGAAGCCTATAAATTACCTATTGGTAATTTTGTGGGGGCTCCCATGAGGGATTTTTATTCATTGCTGAGATCTGACCTGAAATCATGGACAATTAAAATATGGCCCTACTTTGGAGCTAACATTTCTCGAAATTCTTATTATGATAAAGTGAATATGTCAAAATTGTAAGGCCTTAGTTTGGTGGCACTGATGTTTCGAGAAAGTTTATTAATTTGATTACTAGATTGAGATCTAAACACATTTGTACAGGGAAACATTTTTCTAGAATGAACTGGACTCTTCTTCTGGATTGCGCATGTGGCGAGGAGTTTAAGAGTCTTCGTCATTTGTTGAGTTATTGCCCATTACTATCTCCTGGCAGACCTGCCTTTTTCTCTTACTTATCTTCCAAACTTTTAAATTTTGATCCGGATAATTTCAGTTTAGACACTCTGATTTTTGATCCAACCTTAAATTCTGTTATTGAAATTGGAAAATTTTTTTCTTGAAGTGGAATAATTTCATAAATCAATACACTTGTTGTTGGCTTTTTTTTCTTTCTTTTCTTTTTTAACTGCAATCTATTTCATCTCATTATACTGAAATTGTAAATTTCCCTCTTTCCTTTCCATATAGCTGCAGTTATGCAAACACTGAGTGTTACTCGTAAATCTGTTCTCCTATTGGGTTTATGATTGGAATCTGGACATTATTGAACTCAACTGTTACGAACCGAAAAAATATTAATTATAAAAATTATTATTTCTTATGTCCTGGAGGCACCAAGCTGCCGAAATTAAACAAAATTCCGTTTATTTTTATGGGATCGTGTATCCTATTTTAAAAGAAACTGCCAAGTTACGTTATTCGAAAATGAATTTAAGGGATAAACACAATAAAACAATTAAGACCCTTTTATACATTTATTTTATAAAAGAAATTTCGACTTTAAAATAATGAAATGATACAGTAAGATAAGAAGATGGAACGATACATGTTTAAAAACTTACTTTACTGCTTATTATACCGTCGCAAGCTAACGAGGGCGAGGCGTCGAGCTGCTATCCGACGGGCGGAAAAATATGCACACTTATCGAAGCGCGAAAATGTCAATTGGTAGCGCACAAGAATGCACTCACGGGTCCACCGAATCTAAACAGCGCAGGCACTACACGTGCGGACTGGCAGGTCAAAAAGACAAAAATTTAATAATTTGATTTTATCCAAATTACCAATTTTAATCACTATCTATGTAGTGGATTGTGAAAATTGAAAATCCGACTCACGGACGGGCGTCTCAAAATCGTTTTTATGCCTCTGAAAAATTTTAGAGCTGACTCGCGAATGAGAGTTGTACTGCAAATAATTGACTTCCGCGATGTTCTTTTATATGAACGTTTAGAGACTTCAGGTGGGAAAATTTTGTGGACTAAGGGTTTTTAACACGTGATAAAGGCGTGAGCTCTGGGCCTGTTACTATGCCAATAATGCTGAGTTTCTATTTTCTTTTAATGGTATAGCCAAATATAATAATATGCACTTGATAAAATCAAGCATAAATTATCATTGAAAGACTTGTTGTCTTTTTGGATTTATTTTATGAATTCTCCTTGTTGGAAAATGTTTTGATTTTGGGTATTTTTACCCCTTTTTCATTTGCGACAATTACAACTTTGATGTTGTGTTGTCAAGGGCATGTAAAATTGTTAGGCCCAGAATACGTAATAAAAAGGGGTGAAATAAGAAAGGATCGGAAGCTGAAGAATTACGTTCAAAGAAAAGCTCATCGCGTAGATTTGTTTTAACTATCATTTCCCATAATTCGTGAGAAGTCCAATTTCTAATGTGATTTCTACGCCTATCTATACTCATTTAAGACCCGCAAGCGATAATAGCGAACCGTACATGAGTAAAATACTTATTGTCGTTATTTGTAATCAATAGCTTTCATATTTTTATCTTAAGAACATTGTTTGAACGCCAAACGCACCCAAGGCACTGCCGCAATGTTCATTAACGTACTCGCAACATTCCCATTCACTAACTTCTACAATTTTGGTTTGGGAATATTGCCGCAACGTATTAAACGCGGTTACAATGTTCATTAACACACTTGTAACAATTACAGTACTAAAATTAAAGATTTTCAATTATCCATGTGAATATAATTTTCCTTTTTCAATGTTATATTTAATTATGAAAGCTCGTAGAAATAATATTAGAATATATGCACATATTCCTTTTTGTGACATTTTGTTTTAGATATTTGTAATAATAATAATATGTGCATATATGACATTTATTTCAAGAACAAGGCCCGAGTCCGTTCCCATCGCATTATGCTGACAATTGAGTTTTATTATCAAAGTATTGTATTAAAATTCACAAGAAGTAAATTTTACCACAATAAAACAAAACTCAAAATTTAAACTTTTTAGGTACCACCGTGACACAACCAATAATATTTTCCTGTCGAAATTTATTATTATGTGAGGTCTAGAGAAGTGCACTTTTCTACATCGAAACTGGACAAGTTGCATATTTCAGATTAAATACCGTATATTGTGATTGGTGACTTTATGGTCAGAACGCAATTGTGTGGACATTATGATGAAAACGCAATTGAGTGCACATTATGAACCCTACTTTACTTTACTTTACTTAACAATACAAACTTATAGACACCCTACACTTAACAGATTAATCTCATACCTAATTATCTTAAGTTTTCTCTGAGAAATCAATTTCTTCCCGGTTGTGTCCTTTAGTACTGGCTATTTGTTGCTACAAGAGGCCATTTAAACAAAACAAACAAACTTATTGACAGTTGGTTCTAGCATTGATTCCTGTATTATCTACACTATGAAAACTGTCAAAATAATTATTTTCAATTGTCGATGGTTGATTTTCATACTTAGCATGAATTTCTGCAGTACATACACTTTTTTACATAATACGCACAATACATATAATACGCTTACATATAATCTAACCAAACCTAACACACATACAACACAATACTATTTTCGCTCACAGTTACATTGAACAAAATGATTTGAACTGTCCTTATATATCAAGTGGCAGAAAAATTCACAACTTGTGAGAAACGCTTGTAAAGTGAATAAATGATTTATTTTACTTTTATAATATTATATTAATTTAAAATAAAAAAAATATGAAAAAAATATTAATCTATTTAAAAAAACAGAATAAAAATAAAGTTAAAAATTATTTAGCAGAAGAACTAATAATTTATTTTTTATTGTAATAAATAACTAAATAGAATATAAATTATATTGAAATTTATAGAATAACAGATTTTTTCATGTGAATAAGACAAACATAAAAAGCAAAGTTTTAAAATAAATGTTTTTCAATTTTCAAATAAACAATAATAAACTAATAATAATAAAATATATAAAATATTTAACATTAAATGAAAAGACTTATTATGAAATCCCATTTTTTAATGTGATAGGTTCAGGTGAGTAATAAAAAAACTTGGCGCCCTGTTAAAATATATATGGTTTTATAATCTATAATTGTTGATAATTATTAACTTTTATCTTTTTGAACTACTTTATTAAAAGTAAATGCTTCTAGTAAACTTATATACAAATTTTTAAAAAGTTTTATAAATAATGTTTAAGTAAAAAATTTTTACGGGTGCCTAGAGTTTCACATTCAGTCCTGGCAGAAGTTGCGTGGTGGGGACATATACGTTTTACTCAACTTTTGAACGAACTGTTACACACGCAGACGAATAAGTACCCAAGTAAAGCATAAAGTACTACCAAAAGTAAATCAGTTTATGATCAAATGCATTCTATAGTTTAGTCTAACATTTGTTTTAATCTTTACACTACTGTTTGAACCTACTTTAAGAAATATATTTTAATAAACATACAAGAGAATTTTAAATATTAGAAAAATGCCCATGTGTAGCCATTTTTCCCAACTTTTGACTATACTTTAAACATATCGTTTTCTCAGTGTACGCAGACTTCACTTAATTAAAATTTAAGTTCATATCCATGTCATTCTAAATTAAAATGTCGAAGTAAATAAACTTCACATTAAAATTAGTTATTAAAATTCATATACCATTTTTGTCTTGTAAAGATGGGAAAAATTTGTAATTTTTATTCATTTACGCAATGAATCATTTAAAACTATTTAAATTGACAAAATTATTAATTGGTATCATTAATGTTCATACAAATATATATATACGATAATATACTTTTTGTAATAATGAACATCTGAAAAGCTGTTTGATGACATTACAAAATAATATAAGTATCTGTTTAATGTGTTCGTTATAATGTGGGAAATTTAGGTTGGTATATTCCCAATTACCAAAATAAAGTTAGGCGTCTATAATACTTGATTATTTATTTAAACAATTTGCCATCTGGCTTACCACTCAATACACGTCTTATTACTCTCAAATACGGATCCACAATAATCCCCCGTCGCTCTCCTCACACATACCCGTACGCATTCTCACACACGCGAGAAGGGGAAAAACTAAAGGTTGATTTTCACGCGGACAAAGGCAAACTTTAAGCCAACCGCCACACACTCCCCTCCTAGTGTTAACGATAAAATAAAATAAAAAAAATAATAATAATAAAATAGTTATTTGAGCGACGGTCGTAATGGAAAACAAATAAGTTATTTTTATAATAAAGTCATACGCACCGCATACAGTTCATAACATACAAATATAATATCTTTGTTCCTTGTAATACTTTTTGTTTTGACAAAAATGTCAAGAATAAAATAACATTTCTTAATTCGATGATAACGTTTTTCGATTTGTTACAATAATGATGGCTCTTATTTTACTAAAAATAATTACTCTTCTCTTATACATATACCTACAATGCTTAAAATCTCTATAGATAATTTTCTCGCTTACAGACAATCAGTCTCTTTGAATTAAGAATAAAAATGATAAATGTCTATCAAATTAACAGTACTTATATATTATTCGAAAGTCTTATATAAAAATGCTAATTTTCACTTACAAATTAAATGACACTTTCTTGCGTCTTAAAATATTAGGCACAAATTTCTTAGGTTTAGAGAAAATCACAGGAGTTGGCTTTACAACTGGAGGCTCAACGTGATTTAAAACTTTCGAGTGTTGAGAGAAATTGTTTTCTAAATCAACTATTATTTTAGATTGCTTGCAAATATCGACAGGCTCATCGGATCTCGAAGGAATTATCGAGTTTTTACTTCCGATCTTTTTAAGAGGTTTCAAAGAAATTGTTCGATTAATTATTCTATAAGGTCCAACGTAAGGACATTGCAAGGGCTTTTTCAAAGCTCTGACAATTCTAACAAAAACATGAGAACAGTTCGACATATCTTTATATACAAAAATCCTTCGTTTATGATGGTGAGTGACAGGAACCGGTTTTACTTCGCGCATGTGATTTCTAAATTCACTCAAAAACGAACAAGGCTCAGAAACCAAATTTTCCGGCAACACAAACTCACCCGGTATACGTAACACCTTTCCGTAAACAAATTCCGCAGGAGAGGCTCCACAATCCATAACAGCAGTCCTAAGTCCCAAGAGAACCGTAGAAAGAACACGAGTCCAACTTGAATTGGAGTGACACATGATCGATGCCTTTAGAGTCCTGTGCCAACGCTCTACCATACCGTTGGATGCGGGATGATAGGCGGAGGACCGAACTCTATAGCATCCTGATAACTGAAGCAAGGAGGAAAATAACCTGGACTCGAATTGTGTGCCTTGATCGGTCGTCACCGTTTGGGGCGTTCCAAATCGAGAAATCCAGGCATCGACAAATGCACGAGCAACAGTTATGGCTTCGATGTTTTTAATAGGGACCGCCTCGGGCCACCGACAAAAAGGGTCTATCATGGTCACACAATATCGATACTCTTGATCGACAGGTAGAGGTCCCACAATATCCATATGGACATGATCAAAACGAGATTCAGGGGACACAAATTGAGCAGGAAAGAGAACATTGTGTCTCGAAATCTTTGACCTCTGACAGTCGATGCAAGCCTTACAAAACTGAGAAATCTGTTTGTGCATTTCAGGCCAAATATACCGTTTCCGAATGATTCTATCCATGACACGCGCACTCGGGTGAGACAACGAATGAAACAGTTTCATTACCTTTTCTCGAAGAGAACTCGGAATGAAAACACGCAAATCATCACCAGATGTGTCGCAAAACAATTCAATATTCTCCGGACCAAAAACAAATTTTTTTAAGCGAATGGACCATTCTAAATTTGCAATCGCTTTTTTAAGACTTTCGTCTGATGTTTGAGCGTTAGCAAGCTCGACAAGATCAATTTCAGAAGAGAAAGACACGGATTCCACCCTTTATAATGCGTCTGCAATGATGTTTTCGGGACCAGGCAAATATTCGATCGTCGTCGAATACTGAGAAATAAATGATAGTTGATTTTGTTGGCGAGGTGATGCCTTCTCAGATTTTTGCTTAAATGCAAAGATCAGGGGTTTATGATCAGTAACGATCCGAAACTCACGATCTTCGAGAAAATACTTGAAATATTTAATTGCATCGAAAATGGCAGTCAACTCGCGGTCATATGTACTGTAATTTCTCTGAGCAGGTGTAAACTTTCTCGAAAAGAAAGCCAGAGGTTTCCACGAGCCGGAAATGCGTTGTTCAAGTGCAGCACCCATTCCAAAGTTCGATGCATCGGTAACAAGTCGAGTAACGGCATTAGGTTCAGGATGCGAAAGAAGGGTCGAGTTGGCTATCTCACTTTTTATTCGTTCGAAAGCTGCATCTGCTTCTGAATTCCAGACGATTGGGGTTTTATCGTTATTTTTTGAACTGGTAAGGAAGTTATTCAGAGGCGCTAGAATTTCGGCAGCACCGCGGATACTTCGACGGTAGAAATTTGGAAATCCTAAAAAACGTCGCATTTCAGTCACTGTTTGAGGTTTAGGATAAGAAAGGATCGCTTGAACCTTTTCGGGTGTGGATCGAATGCCTTGACCATTAATAATATGACCGAGGAATTCTAACTCAGTTCGTCCGAATTCACATTTTTCGATGTTGATGCGCAAGCCGAAATCCCTCAGACGGGACAGAACCTCATTGAGATGCTCCTCATGCTCCAAGGAATCCATTGAGGCGATAAGGACATCATCAATGTAAGCGAATACATAATCTAAGCCGTGAAGTGCTTGAGATATGTATCGCTGGAACGTCTGACCAGCATTTCGTAAGCCAAAAATCATCATTGGGAATTCGAATAACCCAAAGGGAGTTATAATAGCTGTTTTAGCAATATCCTCAGGTGCGACAGGAATTTGGTTATAAGCCATGTGAAGATCCAGCTTACTAAAAATCTTCCTACCAGCAAGATTCGCAGAAAAGTCGTGTAAATGAGGGACCGGGTATCGATCGGGCTCAGTGACGGAATTCAGACGGCGGAAGTCGCCACAAGGACGCCATTCGCCATTCTTTTTAAGGACCATATTAAGTGGCGCTGCCCAAGAACTATTGGAACGTCGGCATACTCCAAGCTCCATCCATGTTTGGAATTTAGCTTTTGCGGCTACTAACTTTTCAGGGGAAAGACGACGAGCGCGTTCGGCAAGGGGAGGGCCAGTGGTCAAAATATGATGATGAACGTCACGAGTTTTACTTGAAATACCCTGCTCGGGTCCTGTTACTTCCGGATATTTAGCTAATATTTCAGCAAAAGGGACTTGGTGATTGACAGTACTCACGCTGCATAAGGATACTTTGTGAATTTCGCAATTCGTTATTAAGCTCGTAATTGAGTCAGTCAATCTATGTTGAGAAAGGTCGACAAGGATACCATTATTGGCGAGCAGATCTGCCCCGATGATAGGGTACGGCACTGCAGCCAAGCAAAAGTTCCAATTGATATCTCGTCTAAGTTCTATATCCAATGACATGCGCTTTTCCCCGAATGTTGGAATTTTCGAATTGTTAGCGGCATACAGAAAAGTCTCAGTTGGTTTGAGTTTGGAATTGTTCTGAACGGGAAGAAGAGACAGGTCAGAGCCGGTATCAATTAAAAAGAGTAGTCCCGATCTGCGATCACGAATGTGGAGACGTCTAGAATTTACGCCGAAACCGATAGTCTCCGAACGGGGAGGCGTATCTAGTTTTCCGAATTTTTATTATTATTGTTACCATTTGATTTAGTCAAAAAGGAACATGGTTTTTGGCATTTGGTTGCTTTTTCACCAAATTTGTGGTGATACCAACAATTTGGCTTTTTATTTGCAGAAGAAGAACGACCTCTATCATTGCCCCAATTGTTACGAGATCTAGAACGAGAACGATTATTATTGTTTCGCGAAAATTGTGTGCTCAATGCACTAACTTGAGCGAAAGTTCCTTAATTTGTGTTTCGAAAATCGAGGTTACATTATCATTCAATGCAACGGGTGTCATATTGACGGCAGAGCAAGAACCAGCAATGTTACACTACCGTCCGAAATTGTGCGAACTCTGCTTTTTCAACAACTATAAAACTGTTCAAATCTTCAAAAATATTAAAACTAAAATTTTTTCCTCTTTATTTTATTAAAGCTAATAAAATTCTGAAATAAATGATACCTTGACAAAGAGAATATGTTAATTTTTCAATTAGATATCTAAGAAAAACCCAATTTTCAATGTTTTTACTATTTTTTTTATTTCTCTGGCAAAAATTAATATTTTTAAACGTTCTTAGGCTCATTGAAATCGTATTTTGTTATGCAATTCAAATTATATAAAACAATTCATGTACACATTCTTCCCTAGCGTATGCAAACCGTGAAAGTTGGCTCATAAAATGTCAAAAAATTTAAATTTAATTCTACAATAAAATATAATGTTTAAAAATCAAGTAAATATATCATTCTAAACTTCTCTGATTTATGTAAGTAAATTTAAGATTTATACATTTTACTGATCATTTTTTGTCATATAAATATTAATCACAATTTTTTGACATTTTATGAGCCAACTTTCAGGGTTTGCATACGCTAGCGAAGAATGTGTACATGAATTGTTTTATATAATTTGAATTGCATAACAAAATACGATATCAATAAGCCTAAGAACGTTTAAAAATATTAATTTTTGCCAGAGAAATAAAAAAAATAGTAAAAACATTGAAAATTGGGTTTTTCTTAGATATATAATTGAAAAATTAACATATTCTCTTTGTCAAGGTGTCATTTCTTTCAGAATTTTATTAGCTTTAATAAAATAAAGAGGAAAAAATTTTAGTTTTAATATTTTTGATGATTTGAACAGTTTTATAGTTGTTGAAGAAGCAGAGTTCGCACAATTTCGGACGGTAGTGTAGATGCTTCGAAAACTTTGTCGGCCAGATTGGCCAATTCCTGAAGATCCGCTACATTAGAAGCTGCTAAAATGGCGCGCGATGATGCTGGAAGTTGGTCGAGAAAAACCGATTTTATGACTTCCTCACTACAATGCGCGTCGCCCAAGCTTCGCAAACGAGTCAAAACCAATGAAGGTTTACCATCGGTCGAAATATCTCCTTTAAGGAGTTGTCGGAGGCGAGTTTCCGTTGAAACGGAATAAGTAGAAATCAATCTATTTTTAATTTGGGTAAAAATATCCGCAGGTGTAGGGCGAATTGAAATGATGTCGCGGGCACAAATCAAAATCTCAGGATCGAGATCGGCAATGATATGGTTGGCCTTGGTAGATTCGGTAGTAATGCGATGATTGATAAAAACTGATTCGATCTGCATAAACCAAAAAGCGGGATCGTTCGAAATAAAACGAGGCAACTTCCGCAAATTATCGACTCGGGGCCACTCCTGAAGATTATTAACGCCCTCCGTAACTCTATTAAGTTGTTGTAATTGAATAATTTGTTCGTCGGGTACGACTGCGCCAAGAGTGTCTCCCGGATTACTTATGGTGTCAAATCAAAAAAATAATTTCACGAAAGAAAAGTAAAAATAATAATAACGGGGTACCGGTCACTCACCAAACACGAAAATCGAAAAATAATTTTTTACGATAAAATTGTGAACGAATAATGCGAAAAACAAAAAAAAAGAAAAGAAATATTTTGAAAACAAAATTCAAAACTTTAAAATCCGGTGGAGATTCCCTCGATAAGCGATAAGCCGATCGAGAAGCGTTAAATTTGCAAACACAATTTAATTCGAATTAAGATTCTGCCTTGTCGTATCATAATAATAATAACCCCTTTCGAAAAATGTATTAACCTTTAAAAGTTTTCCGTTAAAATTTATTTCGAATAAAATAAACCCGAGGTTTGACCTTGAAAAATCACGCGATATCGTATCACAACAATGCCACATTCACTCGAAAAACACAACTTTAGAAATTTGTAAAATAAAATTTTAAATCTTTGTCAAGAAATAAAAATACTCGAAATCACGACAACCAATACGTAATTACACACAAACTAAGAACGAATATACCATATGCGATGAGTCTGCTCTCGACGACAATACGAAGTGTGATAGATGTGGAGAACTCGTAGACGCAGGAATCCATGACATGTCAATCAAACGTTGAATAAATTTTCTCGATTCGTTCCATAGAGACAGAGAAAAAGAGGGGCTGAACAGCAAAATATCCCACAATTGTCCTTGAATTGGACGGGAAGCTAGGCACCAGCCAATTTCTCCGCAGGTTGAGAGCATGAAAAAAAGGGCTCACATCAGGCGCGGAAAAAATGTTTCAGATTGAACTGATATATATAAAGAAAAATAACTAGGCATGGAAAGATAACATACCTGTTTGCATGAGCTTAAATTAAAGGCCCCATGCATACCAAAAAAAAGTTTAATTTCAAGGTTGTCTCTGGAACCTGCCAGGTCGAGTCAACGTCACAATTAGATTATCGTCAGAGGCAGCAAACTTGTTGAGTGGTGTCGAGATCCGGGAAGAAATAGCCGCATCCATCAAAGTCAGTGGAAAATGCGGTAGAAAACAGCTGGAGTGGTACAGCGTCAGTGTGTCGAAAATGGCGGCACCATGTGCGAAAATGTGGTTATGTATGGAAAAATCCATAAATCGTTGAAAAACTCTCACAATTGCAAACTTTTCACAGAAAAATGTGAGAAAAAAATTCTTCATCAAAAATGTTTAAAGATGTACATCAGATGTAATTATAAAAATCTGATTTCTTTAGATACGAAAATGATGCCATTAACTGCGCGTTTCGTAGTCACAAAAAAATATGACTAAAATATTCACGTCGATAGTCACCAGTGTGGGAAATTTAGGTTGGTGTATTCCCAATTACCAAAATAAAGTTAGGCATCTATAATACTTGATTATTTATTTAAACAATTTGCCATCTGGCTTACCACTCAATACACGTCTTATTACTCTCAAATACGGATCCACAATAATCCCCCGTCGCTCTCCTCACACATACCCGTACGCATTCTCACACACGCGAGAGGGGGAAAAACTAAAGGTTGATTTTCACGCGGACAAAGGCAAACTTTAAGCCAACCGCCACAATAAGAGACATTTTCTTAAAAATTTTCATAGCCTCCCCTGGTAGAGCGCGTGAAGGCGCTCCCAGTGCGGTTGAGAGCTATGATGGTCTACGGTTCGAGTCTCAGAGCCACCCGTTGGAAAATTTAAGATTGAGTGATGAATACTCATTTTTTTAATAATTTCATTTTGAATATATTAAGCATAAGTTAATCATTTCCAATTATTCTGAATACCTATGCAAATTTACGTTTTTACCCCTTTCCCCAGTGAACATATAAATATAAAAAAAAAGTTCTTTTCTATTCACAGTACAGGGGTGCGATTTTGTAATTTCACTTTGACTGTGACTATGACTTGAAAATTTATAAAACTACTACATTACGTGGATATTAGGGGCCGTCCATAAACTACATTATCTATTTTAGGGGGGAGGGGGTCAAAAAATCTAAAAAATGCATTTAACGCAATGATAATGAACAAATTTAATAATTTAAATGTTTGTAAAATAAGTATTTATTATGTTCTGCCTAACGATTCTTCCTTCTTCAATTTCATTATCTTCATTTACCACTTCGTCATCTAATTCTTCGATTTGAAGATTAGTTTGAAATTGCTCATCTACATTGTATCTTTTTCGAATATTTTGTAGAGCACAACACATGTTTACAATTCTTGCTGTTTAATATAAAAATTTTATATGTAGGTGATATATTAATATATGAGGCAAAATTTCTAAAGTGATCCAATTTAAAAAAAAAAGTTAGTTCGGGCTGTAATTTGCATTACATTTAGTACTATGGGTAAGTACTTTACCCATAAATTATTATTAATTTTTATCAAGAACTGTAGAAGGGGGAGAGGATTAAAATTTTGGTGAAATATGAACAATGAATTTTTTGAAAAATCATGACTATTGTATAACAGGGTGAATAAAATTTTGACCTATATATGATTTTGAAAGGGTTTTTCCTGTTCTTTCGAATGGTGCAAAATTTTTTTAAAATAACTCAAGATTTACCCTTTTTTTAAAAAGTCAAAAATATTTTTGACTTTTTTTTTAATATAGGACCCTTTTTTTCTTCCTCAAAATAAAGCTAAAGATATATACTTTCAATATCAAAAAAAAACTAAACTGTCGTTTTTTTTGTTTTCGAAATATTAATTAATTAACTAATTAATGTTAATAAAAAATGAAATATTTTACGAACAAATAAAGTTACAGTAATTCTGAACTTACCAATTTAAAGTTAACGTAATTCCATATACAACGAGCCTTATATGAAGTATTTTGGATAAGTAGATTGTTAATAAACAATTAGTTAGCATTGCAGTTGTTTAATTTTTTGGTATTAAAAGTATGTATCTTAAGCTGCATTTTGAGTGTAAAAAAAGTGTCCTTTATTAAAAAAAAGTCAAAAATATTTTTGATTTTTTAAAAAAAGGGTAAATCTTGAATTGTTTTAAAAAAAATTTGCACGATTTGAAAGAGCAGGAAAAAACCTTTCGAAATCATAAAAGTCAAAATTTTTTTCACCCTGTTATACAATAGTTATGATTTTTCAAAATCTACAATGCTCACATTTTGGTAATTGGATCACTTCAAGAATTTCGCCCCATATATATATATATATATATATATATATATATATATATATACAGTGCCGCTCAGCAGATTTTGCCCACCTTGGAGAATTTTACGCTTGGCGAAAAGTTTTATATTTCGGTTGCTAATAAAGATATAATAATGAGTGAGGACTTTTTTGAAAGCTTATATCTTCTACTTTTATGATATCTAAAACAGACATTAAAAAAAAATTTTTTTATTGTTTAATTGCTCAAAATAAAAATTCAAAACTGCACTTTTTTTCAACTAGTCATAACTCAAGAACGATTGATTTTTGAAAAAAATTGTTAAAAAGAGAAATGTGCCTTTTTATGTATAGAATTAGAAAAAAATATTTAGACATAAAAAAAAAAATTTTTTTTTTTTGACATATTTTGATTTTTTTGAAAATCAGCACTTTTTGTAATTAGTAATAAGTCGAGAACGGTTAGCTTTAGAAAAAAATTTTCAAGATAAAAAATGCCTATTTTTATGTATAGAATTAGAAAAAAAATATTTCGAATTAAAAAAAAAATTTTTTTTACATATTTTGAGTTTTTTTGAAAAACAAAATTTTTTAAATTACTAATAAGTCGAGAACGGTTAGCTTTTGAAAAAAATTCTTAGTATAAAAAATGTGTATTTTTAGGTTTAGAATTGAGAAAAAAATATTACGAATAAAAAATTTGTAATCTTGAAAATTTTTTTCTAAAGCTAACCGTTCTCGACTTATTACTAATTACAAAAAGTGCTGATTTTCAAAAAAATCAAAATATGTCAAAAAAAAAAAAAATTTTTTTTATGTCTAAATATTTTTTTTCTAATTCTATACATAAAAAGGCACATTTTTCTTCTCAACAAATTTTTTCAAAAATCAATCGTTCTTGAGTTATGACTAGTTGAAAAAAAGTGCAGTTTTTTTAAACAATTGCCCATGTCTTGTTACAAATTATCGTATTTTAGTTTACAAGGAATCATTTTAAAGGTGATAAAATTAGCTTTCATATGGCTTATCAACGATTAAAATGTGATGACTGGTTTAAAAACTGCAGCGATTTTAAAATTACAAAAAAAACCGGAAATTTTGAATTTTTATTTTGAGCAATTAACAATAAAAAAATTTTTTTTTAATGTCTGTTTTAGATATCATAAAAGTAGAAGATATAAGCTTTCAAAAAAGTCCTCACTCATTATTATATCTTTATCAGCAACCGAAATATAAAACTTTTCGCCAAGCGTAAAATTCTCCAAGGTGGGCAAAATCTGCTGAGCGGCACTGTATATGACACGCTCACAAGAAAGGTTCCTTAAAAGCAAGAAATGTTTATGTCATGTTTTTTGTTTTTGAAGTAAAAATACAGAAAGAGAAACAATGACTATTAATAGTTATTTGTGTGGCAAGGGCGCAAAAGTAGGGGAATCGAGACTCGTGTGAAGATTGCCGCACGAGCGAAGCGAGTGCGGCAATCACACGAGTCGACATTCCCCTATTGCGCCCGCGCCACACATCCTATTTTCTGTAACATTTGCGTTAAAAACGAGACATCAAGTTTGTCACAAAACTAGTGTCAAATGGACACACATAGTTGATAACGTGGGGGGGTCCGGGGGGGGCTTGCCCCCCGGCGGGGTCTGGGGCGGAGCCCCAGCGGGGTCCAGGGGCGGAGCCCCGGTGGGGGGTTCGGGGGGCGAAGCCCCCAGACTAAAAAAAAACCAAACTCAAAATATTAATTAAATCTACAATTTACATTTTTAATAAAGCCTCGTTGTGAAGCCCCTAGCGAGCGGACGCTTAGGGGGGCGAAGCCCCACGCAAGGAAATCGCGTATGGAAAATTATGAAAATTATTTATGAATAAAATAAATCAACTTTTAAATTTATAAAAAAAGGAATTTTCATATTATTTTCGTTAATTACAAATTGAAATTAAATGTAATTATTTTAAAGAAATTAAATTATATTAAATTAAATTATTTAAATTTAAAATAAATTAAATTAAAATATTTAAATGTAATTATTTTTAAAGAAAATAAAAACTGGAATAATTGCATCGAAATTTATTTTATTTATTTATTAAATTTTATTTTATTTATTTATTAAATTTTATTTATTCGTAGAACAATAATAATTCTTAAAAAGTAAAACAATAAGTAATCTTAAGCAATTATTTCTTTTTGGTTAATTTTATGCTTTGGAACGTAGACTGAAATACAAAATATTCTTATATACAAAATAATTCTTAAAAAGTAAAACAATAAGTAATCTTAAGCAATTATTTCTTTTTGGTTAATTTTATGCTTTGGAACGTAGACTGAAATACAAAATATTCATTTTTTTTACTTCGCTGACAATATCAATCGTTATTTTTAGTTTCGCCGATAATATTTATTGTAATATTTTGACAATTCGATATGTGAAGCATATCCGATTTGGGAAGATTTATAGTCGATGAGCTTGAATGTGAGGTTGCTGTATTTGGAACATCCAAATTTTCATTGTGCGAAGGATTCAAGATTGAATCAGAAATCAATTTGCTGATTTTCCTCTTACCCTGCAAGGAATCATCAATGTAGCTTTCAGCTACTTGATTGGACTTCCATCCAGCGTGCCGTTTGAGTGTTGTCAATGTGACTCCAGCGTCGGCGAGGAGGGTAGTGGAAGTTCTCCTGAAGCAGTGTCCTGTGTAAAGATGAGCATCCCGAAGATTTAAATATTTTGCGACCATTTTTGGCATACTGCCAAATTTGTTGAGCCCAATGACTTGTCTCGTACATTTTCCGTTTTGCCAATTTAAAAAAAAGCTGGGAGTGGCCACATCTTTCGGACGTTTCGAGGCATAATTTTTGACGATGTGATACAATTGCCCTTCGACAACAAACTTCCGAATAATATTCGTTTTCGTCTTCGGAAGTGTAATTTCATAGCGAGATCCATTGTCAGCAAAATCTTGTAACTTCATATTGTATAGCTCTTCTCGTCGGCAAGCTCCTTCTACTCCAAGTATTAAAGCAACCTGTAATTAAAATTATAAATATATTATAAATGTAAATATTTTTGTGCACGTTTTTATTATTTTCTTTATAATTTGTAAATATAGTATTTTAAAAAATTAAAATTTGTAAATATAATTGTAAATAATTAAAATTTGTAAATATAATTGTAAATAATTAAAATTTGTAAATATAATTGTAAATAATTAAAATTTGTAAATATAATTGTAAATAATTAAAATTTGTAAATATAATTGTAAATAATTAAAATTTGTAAATATAATTGTAAATAATTAAAATTTGTAAATATAATTGTAAATAATTAAAATTTGTAAATATAATTGTAAATAATTAAAATTTGTAAATATAATTGTAAATAATTAAAATTTGTAAATATAATTGTAAATAATTAAAATTTGTAAATATAATTGTAAATAATTAAACAAAATTTATAAATTGTATATCTAATTGTAAATAATTATTGTAATTTAGGGTAAAAGTAAAAATCAATGTAGATTTTTTATTATTATAGTTTGTAATTTGTAAACATAGTTATAAAATTACAACTTACCTTCGTGGCTAAGTGTTTCAGATCTGGGGCTTCAAATAAAAACTTGTGAATCTGTTCAGGAGTAAGAGTTTTTGCTTTCTTACTTTGAAAGTTTTTGTTTCCGATTTTTAAATAATTTATTAAATTTACATATTTACTTATATCAATTTCATGATTTTGTAGTATCATTTTTTTGATCATAGAGTAAGTCGACCATAAAGTCGATGAAGCTTTTGTTTCCGATAAATGCTCAAAATAGGCCATTAACGTTTCTTCTGTTATCGACGCACAATTGTTTTTTAGCCATGTGGAAAAATTGTCATAGGAGGTTAAGTACACTGACTTAGACTTCTCCGGTATCAATTTTTGCTTTGCACTCTCGGCTAATTGCCGTACACTTTTACTAGAATTTTCTTCTTCGGCCATAGTTTTCCACAATTATTAACAACACAGCAACAAAAGTTAATCGAGAACTGATAAAAAGTAAAAACTAACGGGAAAAAGTGAACTAATGCGCTACGCCATTTTCTATAAAGGACTTTAGGCCGCTTTCAGAATGAGCTCGACACATCGCAAATGCGCAGACTCCGTTGTGTCGTCAGTCGAATTCATTCTAAAAGGGGCCTAAGGTCTCGGGAAATTTTGTGATTCAAAGTTGGTAGCGCTGTTCAAGTATAGTGTTGGTGGGGAGAACTGTGCCTTAAAAGTACATTTCCCCTCCTTTTAAATACACGTGTGTTTAAAAGTCGAGTTTTTAACGCACAGTGTTACAGAAATTAAATTAAATTTTCGGAAGGAGATTCTCTTGGTGAGTGATTGAGAATGGGAGTGATAAGAGTAGGACTTAAACTGTATATTTAAATATAATTTTGAAACCATTTTTATAAAATTTTAATAATTGAAGCTCATTTGATCAATTTCGTTCTTAGGAGAATGTATAGCAACATGTGTTCCGTCTACTACTCCGATCACGTTGGGAAAATGTAATTTATCAAAGAATCTATAAAAGAAAAATATATAATTAAACAAGAAGAAATGATCTTCTGTAAGATAATACAATGTATTTGTTGTATTCTTGCGTATAGAATTAGTGGTTGCCATCTGTGATATAACTGGGATTAAAAAAATATATCTTTTTACACAAACCTTATTAATTTTATATTGACACGAAATTTATGAAAATTTCAAAAATTAATTGTTTGAAAAATGACCACGAGTTAATAAAAAAGTGAATGAATCAATTTTTAATAAACTTTCTTAGTCTAGATTTAAAGAAAGGTAAGTAATTATAAATGTTTATTAGATTTTGCAAAGAATATAATTAAATAAGTAATGTACGCGATGACACGATATTTGATAAAAAATACCAGAATTCTCTAGGCTCAAAGCAAGAAAAAGGCAGAAATTTAAATAAAAATAAAAACTTTCTCTTTTGCTACAGCAAGATGAAGACTAGTATATTGATAGGAATCAAAAATTTCCCTTAGCACACAGCGAAATGATCGCTATAGAATCTTATTAAGAACAAAGCCTTTTCTTTATTTCACAGATTTTTAAGGATCTCAAATTGAGGAAAGTTTAACGTTAAATATTTAATTAATCAGGACTCTTAAATATTTATTTAATTTTCACTAAACTTTACATTTGATTATTCCAAACTTTGCAAGTAAATATTTAATAAATATTAAGAAAAGTTTCGGTGAAGTGGAGGAGAATATATGAGAATGTAATTTACAACCTTTGTTTCATGTTTTCAATTTCTCCAGGTGTTTGCGAAAACCTAATTAAGTCTGATAGAACTCTATCAACAGCATTAAGCGTGTTATGTAGACTAACGCTAATTGAAGTTGACTTGAAATATTATTGTATTTCACTAAATAATTAGAAAAAAAGTTAATATTTTTTTTTATTTAGATACTGTAAAATAGGGTAAAGTCAGCGATTTTTTAAAGTTTTTCTTAAAAAAACTGTGAGAAAAACATAAAATACAACTTTAATAATTTTGATATATAAAGTTTCACTCCTCTTCTTTAATATTATTACATAAAAAAAATTTATTTATTTTTTAAAAAAAAAATATTAATTAAGTAAAATCAAGTTTTGGAAGTAAGTATAAATTGTATAAACACTTATATTTCACTAAAATTATCCACTGAATATGAATGAAAGTATGAAACAAATGTCAAAGTAATGTTTGAAGTCCATACAAACAAAAGTAATCATAACACAGCCCCACAAAAAAAAAAAGTGTCATGTACTTTTGACCGGAATACGGACTCCGTTTTTGGACCTCTCCGTGAATGGACGTCCTTGCTTTCTGTGTTTCATTATACTTAATTGTTCTTGTTTTTCGATTTTGTGATTTCCGAGTAAATTGATGAAGTAAAAATTCTTCATCTATCATCTAAATTGAAAATTTGGAAGCTAATTTCCTAAATTTGAGTGCTATCTATTATTGTTTTAATTTTCCCCTGTGCAGTTATTGATTTTGGTTATTGAAAACAATTTTAATCCAAATACATCGCCTCATCATTGCTAAACTTTTGTCAAACTAAGTTAATTATTTAAATAAATCAACACAAAAATGAGTTATTTTGTGATATTTCTGATGATATCATAAAAGTGCATACAAGATCTACATTTCAACCTGACCACATGTGTTGACATAACCTCAATATTTTTTGTGATGAAACTTAATGGAAAAAGAATAATTCTTCTCTTCTCTGGAAATTTTGGATACCATGTGCGGACATAACCTCAAGTGAGCTGACAATTTTCTGTTTAATTATGTTGCTTTTCTATTGATCTTATATGCTTTCTGCTCCCTAAAAAGTAAAACATAAAAGAAAAGAGAAAAAAAAAAAAAAGAATTTTTTTTTTTGATATTTTTCTTTTATTGAATGTTATATATTAATAATTATTTAGCTATTTTTTTTTCTTTGCCTGTTTTGATAGCTAGATTATAATGATACAGTGAATGGTTTTTCAAGTAAGTTTGATTGCTTTTTCTTTTTTTTTGCCTAGCTGTCATTGCTTATATTTTATTTTGTTTTTTTTTTAGTTATTGTTTGAGTTGAAAAGAGATTGAGCTGGTGAGTGAGAGAAAGTAAAGAAGAAAAGAGGAAAAAGAGAAAAAAAAAATTTTACTTTTTGGCATAACAAATTTTTACTATTCCCTTTTTTCTCAGATCTCAATATTTAAAATTGCTAATTGAGTAAGAGCCTAATTTTCGTTCAAATTTTAATAATGATTAATTTCAATTTGGTGCTCTTAAATTGATGAATTTTTTTTTCTTTTTTTATGTTATTGTTTATTTTGTTTACTTGCTACAATTATTGCATACTACTATCAGTGTTTGTTCCTTTAAACTTACACACATAATCTTAGATTGAGTTGGTATGAGCAGTCGGCCTCTGGCGAATTACTTTTCTGATTGGATATTAATTTATTAATTTTTTTTTTTGTTTAGTTGCATAAGATTTGTTTAGAGAAAGTGTGTGATAGGTGATTTTAATTGCTTTGGTGGCTGATTTTGGGATCAACTGAGAGTTTTATATTATTCTAAAATCATAAACTTTTTTTTAGCTAACAATCAATATGTCAACGGAGGATCAGAGGAGTGTTCCTACTGTGGAGGGCCTGCCGGATGTGGATTTATCTCAGCCTGGTCATTCATGGGATGATGAAGCGAGGCCCGCCCCGGGTTGCTTGGTTACGATGCTGGAGGGTTTAACTAGCCCCAATCCATCACCTGAGACAGACCCCAATCTTAATCTTGATTTATTAACGGGTAACCACTCTCAGGTCACGAACCAACATGACGGTCTTACCCTCCTTTCCCCCTTTGTTCCAGGTGGTAAGAGAACGAGAACTGAAAGAATGTGCGCGAATTCATCGAATGATAGCTCTTCAGTGGGGTCAGTTGTACATTCTTCTAAAAAGGCCTCTTTGGCGGTCGATAGATTCCCTCCTGTTCATGAAAAAGAGTTGTTGAATCCACCTAACTCTCTCAATGGAGTACAAGTGCCCGGTCAATTTAGGGAGGAAATTATTCGTGACAAAAATGATTTGGAATGGTATAATAAATCGGTGTCTTCTCTATATTCAGCAAGTAGTCCATCACCTTATATTGTTCTAATTGAAAGCTCGATTAGGGGGAGAAATATCGGAAAATTGGATCCTATTTGCGTTATTGATATGTTGACTCCAATTATTCAAGGTAAGAAGCTAATCACCAGAAATGGAAAAAACCAGATCAAGGTTAACTGTGATTTTTGGCAGAGTGCCAACGACCTTGTACAATCTCGCGACTTTGCAACTGCTGGGTATAGGGCATTTATTCCGGACTCTTTCCTTAGGAAGAAAGGTTTTACTACTTGGTTCCCTTCTGACAGATCTGTTAAGGATATTGTTAGGGTATGCTCTGCGAGTGATTTGGAAAATATAGCCAGTATCAAAAGAATTGTCAATGATGATAAAACAATTCTGGACAAAATTGAATTTACTTTTAATTCTCCTACAATACCTAGACATATCCAGATTGGGGAATTTCTAATTCAGATTACTCCATCCATTCAGCGACCGAGGCGATGTTTTCGATGTCAGAGATTTTGTCATGACGCAAATCAGTGTAGGTCAACTTATCCTTCCTGTGAATTTTATTCAGGAAAACATCTATCAAATCTGTGTCCCAATGGTCATTTGAGACCTAAGTGCAAGAACTGCAAAGGTGAACATATTGCGTCGTCCTCTGATTGTCCGGTGTTCAAATTTGAATTTGGAATCCTCAGGCATCGTTATAATACAAATTGCAATAGAGAGGAGGCTAAGTTGATGTTTTTTACGGAGAATCCTGACTTGGCTAATAGAGTTACAGTAAGGACTGATTCCCCTCCTTCGTCTCCTCATATTGCTCATGGTGGGGCACTGGGTCAGCCACTAAACATGGTTACTCACCCCGACCCTCAATCTATTCAAGGAGGTCTTCGCGATCCGCTCCTGGAGATATCTAAGGCTATGAATGAGCATAAAATTGCAGAAAAAATTTCAGTGGTCAATTCACTTATTGACCTCAATCAATCCCGGTCTGCAATTCTGGATTCTTTACAGGAATCATTAATCCCTTCTTTACAACAAATTCAGGGTTCTTCTACTCCTCTATCTAAAAAACAATGATCTGCATTGTTCTTTCTTTTTTTTGTTATGTTTTTAGTTTTTTATATATTATTGCTAATTAATGGGTGGTGGCTATAAGGAAGAAGAAAAATGAAATGAAGGGATTAAAAGGGCAAGTGTATGTGTATATATGTGTATATATGTTTACATGTATATATGTATGTATGCATGCATGTGTATGCATGTATGTATTTATGGATAGCTTTGAGCTCGGCTGCTTATGATCTAAGAAAGAGAGGATAAAATTATCTATTCGACCTATATTAAATTTTTAAACTGATTTTTTTTGTTTTTGTTGTTGTTTAAGGTTGTTTTTATTATAAATGTTCGGCAA